AGTAGTAAGTCATGCGTTCCGTTTATTGTGTGATCGGTAAATAATGTAAACTTGATATTGTGTACATAATAAGTGCATGATATAAAATGACAATAATATAAGTGCGAAATCCTCGCTAATGAGCGCGCGCTCGCCCTTCCACGTCGTAAGATTTATTATTATTATGTGTAAATATTATTATGTTATTGTGTTAGGTGTTGCTGAATAATAATATTTCATTGTGAGCGAGCGTGAAGAGAACAGCGACGGTTTTTTTCCGTACAAAGGGTCGTAACGGCTAATCCGTATGATGCGTTTGCGCTATGCTTTTATTCGTGTTCACGAGACCATCTTCATAAACCCTTAACCGTCCGGTTAGGTTTATGCGCAACCACTCGTCGAACAGAAAAAAAGAAAAGACTACCGAATGTTTAAGTATTCCGCCTTGTTTCACATACCTCTTCGCTTCTCAGCATATGCATATTCGGACGAAAGCCTATTCAGTCAAAATACACCTAAGCATTTTCGGTCATATCAAATTTTGAACACTAAACCAATAATAAAATATATGTATACGTTATAATTTATAATGTCGAGTGAATACTCTATGTTATGCGTTTAGTTGTAATGAAAACACCTACTTTGATTCAAAACAATTATACCTTATACGAATAAATTATTATGATGTACCATTCATGTATTACACGCTATATGGACATTAACAAGTGAATTCGTGGTAATTTTTATTAATTTGCTCAACTACTTAAATCGTTGGCAATACAAATGAGCTTCTTTTTTTTAACATTTACTCAGTGCAGTATGCGTTGGTTTTTTACTCTTTACAGCTGCTGGCCGGGTGGTCTACGGTGTTGTTGACACAGCTTAGATTTTAGCGCCACTGCGATGGGACCACGTTTAAAGACGGTTTGGGCTTTTTTCCCCCCTTTAAATAATATTCTACTGTTTGTAACACACGCACCGCGTTCGTCGATAAACTGCACATTGTCATCTTCAGATAATAAAAGCATCATTTCCCCATCCCCCGTGCACTACATAACGCACGTGCACAGATAATTCATAGCGTGACTCCGCCCCGCTTAAACGAGTCAATGCCCATCCTCAATATTATTCGCATGGACGAGGTGCTCTTCACTGCAAATTGTGTCGTCACGACATAATTATGGTTTCCAACGTTTTTATCGTCAAACGTCGTGATCGCTGTTCTCGATAAGACATTACATTATTACTACTTAAACATGATATTTTGTAATTTTCCTTTGTTGTTTTAACAGGTCAGGTTACCCTTTACTTTGTCAGGTATAAAAAACCAGATCTGCGCGAAAATGATTTTCCATTATTTGCGCGCCTCGTCTTATAATGGTCTTATCTCTCGTAGGTTTATTGTAAAACGTAACGATCGACATGAGTTTGAAACGTTCACAAAATAATCAATATATTATTATCTGGTAGTACTACTCGCCAAATACCAGCAAAAATTCCTCAGTGGCGAAGATTTCACGAATTATCAATGTATGCCTTTAGACTTAGCACATACTATTTTTGTTACTCTCAATTGAGTAATAGAATTAACAATTAGGTTAAACATTTAAACAAACTATACCATATGTGTTAATATGTATTCATACATATGTGTTGCAATGTGTGTAATATGTATTCATTTAACTTGGGCAAGTACCTACTCATATAAAAAGCAAACATTTTGGACTTGATTAAAAAACAATGAATTCAACACCGTGTTTTTCTTGTCTTGATTACCTTTTTGGCGTCCTGTTAGGAAAATTAATTCAAATAACAATATAGATAGGTTAGGTTTAATAACTATAGTTATTATGTTATTGAACAAAATATATATTTTGTTCATACAACAATTTGTTCAATTATGTTATTGAACAAAATATATATATATATACATATGTGATGATAAACATAACTGAATTACCGGTTAAGCTTAAAACTCAGATTTAAAACAAATTAAGCTGTAAATGCCTATGGTTTTTATATTAAATAATAATTGAATACATCCTTACTTCGAAATCGGTAAAATCTTCAAAAAGTGTTTAATATTTTTAATAATAAAATAGTAAATTACTTGTTAGCAGTTCAAAATGTAAACAATACTAAGTAACATTTTTCCATGGTTCGAACATACAATAATTACTCCAAATTCAAATTCCTTTCATTGTTTGAAAATTACAAATTATCTTTACACTGTAAATTGGTTTATTTATGTGTTTATTATAGTAAGCATTATTAAGGACCATTGTCAAGTTTAACCATATATTTTAACTTTTAAGTATCTAACATATAGTATCATAATATTATGTATGTTTTTAATTTAACTGTCTGCTCTTAAGTTTTTGGACTGCGAGTGCATTTTTCTATTGAGTAAAATCATTTTTCTCTTCAGTACGAGCTGGTTTACATAATATGTAATATGTTTTATTATATCCTAGATGTTTAGTGAGCTGCAAACAGCAAGTATTACTGTCGGTTATATTTTCTAGTTTGATTTGGTTACTGTAATTACGGCTCCGAGTTGACCTAACGGTTTAGCGCCAGTACGAATAACTCATTGCGCAAAAACTACAAAAGCAATAATATAATATTATATTGTGTATACATAACTATACTGCATGAGATGTGGAATAATTACTATGCAATGCCAGTGATTCGTTTTTCCGCGCGTGGGCGTTTTGTCTTGGAAGACAAACACGTAAGTTATCGGTCCCGGTTGTTGCTAATAATAGAATAATTAAAAAATACTTTAAACAATAAAAGTTGTGTATATATTAATAATATTATATGGTGCCCAACCCGTAACCCGGCTGGAAGATTTTATTATCGTTCAAGGCGAGCTGATCGCAGTCCGGCATCACACTGCGCCACAATAATCACATTATATAAATAAAATATACTTGTATATATGTATATATTATTATAATAGTACAATAGAGGCGAATATTAAATGTATAGCTATAAAATATCGTGTTGTCCTATCAAGCGGCTAATGTCGGTCTGCGGATACGATAAACGGCCGGTAATTAATATACTACCAACGCGGATCATCTCGTCTCGCCACGAAAAGCCAATTAATTAGAAGTTAGGCCGAGACCCCTTGAGCTCTCTCTCTCTCTCTCTCTCTCTCGCCACAGGACCTCTGATAGCAGCAACAAGCCGAGATACTTATACATTTACTCTTTTCGGAGGGCCTCGGTTTGTGTATATTATTATATTATTTTACCTCGGTTTTTTTTAAATTTTATTAATTTAACAATGACACGGGTACCATTAATTTCGATTAAGGTCGATGCGCGCGTTTAAGAGGATCATACGTTTCGACACGGATACCATGAATTCCATTCCTGTATAATTATTCTATACATATTATTTAAGTCTAGGCGGCTAAATGTAAGATGGTTTATATGCACATGTTTATATATCGACCATAGGTTTCGACGGTAAAATAAAAGTCGGTATACATTATGAAAAAATATTAAATAACAGCCTTGAATTAGTCACAATATTATTATACAGGGTGATCCAACTTTTAGTTACATATTTTACTACATTTTTCAATATTTTGAAATTTTTTATCACCGCAGTCCTTATAAGCTAAAAAGGGGGATTTTTGTTTTTTTTTTTAATGGCAACATACGTTTTTAATTACATAAATTTGTAGACAAAAAATAAAAAAATATGTTAGCGTTTGAAATTTGAATTTTCATTTATTTGTACATATTTGTTATGACTTTATAAAGATTTGATTTTTTTTTTTACTGTATTTCTTAATATTTTCAATCGTTACTAAAAAAGACGAGTAGTTTTATTACATTGCATACAAATAATTTGACATGTTACCGTACTCTGTATGATAATCAGATATAATAAATAACCTATAATCTAAGTAATCTGTATATAAGAACCTTTGTCTATTTCGAAATCTTTTATAGTGAATTCCTATAGTTGTTAGAATGTTATCGCCAAATGGACAATGCGAACATAAATATGAATTTGATGTGCTACCGGTTTTGGAAAACCGAAGAAATATGATTTTATTATTAAGAGGAAATGTAGTATCTTAACAAAGTCATGACTAATGAACAGATTAATAAAAATACAAATTTTTAACGCTAACATATTTTTAACTTTTTTTTGTCTACAAATGTATGTAATTAAAATCATATGTTGCCATTTAAAAAAAAAATAAGAATCCCCCTTTTTGGCTTATAAAGACTAGTGATAAAAATTTTCAAAATATTAAAAAATGTAGTAAAATATTTACCTAAAAGTTTAAATCAATAGCACATGAATCTGATTAAAGTGTAAACATGGTATCGACAACCGGCATATTATTGTCTTGGATATTATTATTTAGAACACTTACGCTAAGTATATACAAGGGTTACACTGTACACTATAATACAAAGTGGTGACTCGATGTTTACATTGAACACGAATGCCGGATACAGCGGTGCGTTGTGTATAATACAATTTATTTATTTATATATAAATACAAATAGTGCAACCAGCGGCGATAACAACTATGCTATTATATACCGTGGGAACCGAATTGTCTTTCTGTGCTGGCGTTGCCGCGAGGATACGACTTAAACGGCTATTGTATTGTTTTTTTATTAATTTAACCGAAAACGATTTTTTAAATATTATTTCAAACCATGTGTCAAGTACACATTTATTTGTTTAACTAACAAATTTAAACCGTTAACAACCCAACCGAAAAGTAAGCCGGACAAGCATGCCTACCTCAGCGCGCTGTCAGGTGTGCAATGTGCACATTATTAAAAATTAACACTTCATGATTAAGTCTAATATTATACATAATACCTATATATTATATCGTACACATTTTTGTTTCGGTTCAAACGTTTAGATAGACCCAGGCAATGGAATGTATGTGTTGTTGCAATAATTCCCAATTAATAATTTTACTTATTTAATATAATTATTTTAAAAGATGTTTTGTTTTTGTGTTTTTTCAGCTGTACACTGCCGGCAATGAAATAGACAGACGTAGTTTCCTGGACTCGCTGTTCAGTTTTATGCAGGAACAAGGTAAGCAAAAAATTGTATAAAATATATATATACACATCATTACGGTATCATTCCATGTCATTATGTTATATGGATTTTCTTTTTTTTATAATTTCACATTGTATATTATTTCCACCGGCAGTAATGTTAACAACGCCGCCACCGCTTATCTGAGCACACACACACACACGACTACAAAGTAGAAAAAAAATGCACTCCGGTGAAATAATAATGGATATTTTTTTTTACGACACTCGCAAGTCCATGTAGTGATAATAACAAAATATACAATATCGCAAAATAATATCCGTCCGTATATAATATCTGCACATAATATAATACACGTATAAATGTAATATACCTTATGTATTACCTTTTGGAAAATTACACATTATGGCGTCCGAGTAGTTTATACTGTATACATAAAGTTTGTTGTTAAACAACTATAGCGATGGATACGAGTTTAATTTAAAAATTATATCAAGTTAAAATTTGTATAAACTTATTTATAAAAAAGGCTCTGCGACCACCGGCGTTGGTGTAATAAAATATTAATATTATTTTTATGGTTTTCACTGCATATCGAGTGTCGGTGGAAAAATTAAAAAAATTAAAAAACTCCCAAAGGCTAACTGTTTTTTTTTTTTAGATTGGTTTACTGTCAATTGAAATTCGAACATTTTAAAAGAGTGAATGCAATACAAGGTCTTAGTTAAATCATAAAATTATTATGGAATTGTTTTCCTGGTCTGCTAAAGTCAGGGGTTTCCGAGTCCTTGAGATCCTTAGAAATAATATAGTATGCATAGTCTTTCGTGCGGAGACCAAAAAGCGATTTTTTACGGATGCCGCTATATAAAACCCGCGTTAGTACTAAAAATCATTCGCTGTGTAATAAGAAGAAAATATAATTTATAAATAATAATAATAATGTATCGAACACAAAACGCATGAACAGATTTTTACGGTCATTTCGCACACCGTCCAGGCGCATATTATACATGTGTATACCTACACCCAATATACTTCTTACATATGTCTGTTTCCAATAAAACACTCCCTCCGTCCATAATATTTTTTATATGTATTTTCGGTTTTTGTTTTATTTGCCTATAAAACAATTCATATCGGTTTACATATATATATATAAGTATAATATTTTATAATAATGGACTGGGAGACCGGAGACCCCCGGTCCTCAGCATTTAGTACCCACAATCGGTAGGCCAACCGGTAAGATATTCAACACGGCGTTCAACGAAAACACAATGCCAATTTCTGACAAGCCTATAATAATCCAGCGGCCATATTATTGCTTCTTTTTTGTCCACCATTATTTTACATCTCGCGTTCGATCCCCTCTGCATTTATATTTTTTGCCCGCCGTTATAACACAACAATATATACTTAAAATAAAAAAAAATTGACGGCTTTTATTTCGTCTCCGGGTCAGAGATCATGCCGCACAAAAAACGATTCTTCGAAATCAGTTTAAAATTTAATAATATAATATATTTTTGTTTTATAATAATTCCGTTTTATTAGCTGTCACAGATGCCAGGACAATGCTATTGTCGCCTTAGTTTAATCTTAAAAAAAAAATGTTTGTATCTATTATAATTATTAAAATAACACAAATACGGTCCAGATGGAGGGGAGAGTTTTTCTTAAAATATTGTTACAAATAAAAAATTATAGTATGTAATTGAGCCTTAGTTTACTACACTATTGCCCAGACGGCAAATAATAAATTTAATATTTCAATAGAAAATAATATTATAAAGTTTGGTTAAAATATGGTTTTATTATAAAAAATGTGTACAACATGAATGTTAAGTAAGTAAGTTGTCTAAAACCCCAATTGCAATTTTTGTAGTTTTTTTATTTTAAGGAAATTTTAGTTAATGTAATTTTATAATATTATATCGTTTTCTAATGTTTACGTTTTTTAGTATATTTAGGAGCCGTATTGACTTTTGAAACTCAATATGTAACCTTTTATATTATTAACTTTTTGAATTAAGAAATTTTTGATAAATTGTTAAATAGGTTTGAATGATTATTTTTAGCGTTATTCGCGTTTAAAGTTTAATGGGGAGCAGTAATGGGAGTGGTAAAAAATAATATACTAGTGTATTTAAGTAAGATATTTTAAAAACGTTTTCAAAAACTAAAACTGTAAATAAATTCCGATAGTTAAATTAATTAAAAAATATATTCTAAAAAAACATTTCTGATAACCTAACATAACTTAGCAAAATTCGTTTTAACATTCTCGGGGTAAAAAAATTATAACGTTAAACCTAGTTCATGAACATAATTTTGAACTGAACAAATAAATAACGGTTAACGGAACCCTGCTTGGTTAAAAAATTAATTATTCATTTTTCTTGTGTCATAATTAGGTCTAGCCAATAAAAAAAGTTACTTTATTTATTATTAATGAATTTCCACATAGATAGATAGCGCTGTGTGAATTCACAAAATATAAATGCCTAGACAATTATTGCTTGCTTTATAGGATAGAGGATACGATAACTGTTACCATCATTATAACACATAAAGTCGTGGCCTTGAATGCAAATTCTACATTCGGTTATCCTTGTATAATAAGGATTATGTCAGTTTAAAAAACATTATTATAATTATTACTAACATAGGTTTACTGGCGTTGATTATTTATTATACCGAATATAATACATACACTTTTTGGGTGTACCTAAAATTCGAAATTACTATTACTGTTATGACAAATGTCGGTTAATGATGTTTTCAATATGAGTATTCGGTTGATTACGCATTCGTAAATGTAAATATTAATTTTTAGGCTCATTACAATATTAATAGTGTATAATAATAATAATATCAGGTATACGTGTACAATATAATGTCATTCGGCGTGATATACAGGCGCACGCAGCCATTTAAAAAGGAACAAAATTATAATAGCTGGTACACAATAATTTTCATTAAAAAAACCAATATGGGTGTCACAGCACCAATGCAGGTACATAATATAATAACGCTTAAAAAACAATCCGAGGCGTGCAGTAGTATAATGCTTGTATAAACCGCGCCATAGTTGTAAATAGATAATTGGTAATTAGCGCGGGTATACAATAAAATTAATTCAGACTATTCAGCTGTGGTATACGCGTTGTATATTATATTCGAGACACCGCCATAGCCTGTTTACCGTTAATAATTTCACTTACCTGACAATTATATTAAAATATGTAATTATATATTTCACTATTTCGATAATTGTATTAATTGTTTCGGTAACTGTGTATGAGTAGGTGCGGCGGTTATACGATGGTCGATGAAACAACAAAGTGTCACTTTATTATTTTAACCAAATACACGTGGAAATGAATTAATATTGTTGATATGTCGTCATAAAATGAAATCTGAAAAGTTTTCATTCGAAAACACATTTCAACGAATTCTTAAAATAATTTTTTTACCTCCTCCTAAGAGAAGGTATTGCGATCAACGATCTATCGTGTCATTGCAAATCTGGTAACGAAAAATAGAGTTCTTGGGTGTAAATCATTAAAGTTGTTTAATCCAGTTTGTCCAATGATCGTTGAAGAACTTTATTATGCGTTTGAATGAGAAAATAATAACACCTACCTATGCACAGCGACTGACTTGTCGGTGATAAATATTTTATGGAAATTATCAGCAAATATATTACTTATGTTGTAATTGCACATAACAGGAAATTCGACAGAGCTGAACAATGACCAATATTTATCAGATTCTTTTTGTACCAGAATAAAAAAAAAATAAGATAAAGTTTATTGCTTTGAAACCACAACAATGTACGCTTTACAAAACAGCCAATTCGAGTAGCATATTAATAGGATTTTCAAGTAAAAAAAACATAAAAAAATATTTATGTAAAAATAAACAATTTAGTCGCATTTATTGTGTTTTTCTACAATCACGACGCGTTTATTGTGCAACACCGGTGTTTGGTTAAAAGTTATCTAAGCTAAATTATATTTTAAACAAACGCGGAAACATTCATTTAACAGAAATTGTCTTTTTTCGTCATAAAATATAATGTTGTATTAACACTAATTTGTACTTAATATTATATACATGCTACCACTGTACATTTACAACGCAATGACTTCAGTTTTGTGACATTTCATAGTTGTTCTCAACCTTTCCGTTAAGTCTTATTTGTCATTTATACACCCGGTGCAGACCATGAATGGGGTAGGAGTTAAGAAAGTTCAGATCCTTCAAAACCCTTTGAGTTCTCACGAAATTCATGGTTAAAAAAAATTCTTAAGTGAGTGCTATGACAGTTAAGTCGTTCATATTTAAGAAGCATATTAAAGGATTTTAATTTCCCTTAACCCCCCCCCCTTTAGATCCACGCCCAACTAAACATGTAAGGGTTTAATTCATTATACCCAGTAACTCAAATTAATTGTCTGATAATAAACGCTTGTCTAATAACCACTCTGTTAATTACCAGTTGTCACGTGTAAGGTTTCATGACTGGTATGATATGATTGTAATAATAATATCATGTTGTACATACCGGGTTAGGCAAAAAAAGGTGATGAACTCAAAATGATTATTTAAAGTAGTATAATATTACACACTTATTGTTGTTAAAAAACATTTTAATTTGTTAAAGTCAATGACAGTTTTATTTTCATATTATCAGTTAATTTTAATTTTACTTAAATATCTATTAAAGTCATCGTTCACTAAAAAAATATTGCCTACCGTCATTTGTGTTCCAATTTCGAAGAGGTACATCACATTATCATATTATGCGTTTGGAGTTTGGACATATTATAACGTTTTTTCAGCACTTAAGTATCCTGTTAGTAGTGCGTTATGTCGGACGTTGATGACGACGGTAATAGACAATGAGTAATAATAACGTCTCGACACACAGCGGTGGTGTGGGGAGTGTCCATTGTTGTATTGGTGTATGGAAATCAATTACCCGCATTATACTCTGAAAAAAAAATGTTTCAAAACGATTATTG